CAGAAGCATCTGGGCTGTCAGCTGGCCGCGTGCTCCGCTCTGCTCCCCCTCCCCCTGGTCTGCAGACCAGGGGGAGGGGAGCAGAGCGGAGCGGAGCAGAGCAGAGCGGCAGAACGCGCGGCCAGAACTGCTCTGCTCCGCTCTGCTCCCGGCCAGCTGACAGCCCAGACGCGTCTGGGCTGTCAGCTGGCCGCGCGTTCCGCCGCCGCTTTCCTTCCTCTCCCTGGTCTGTCGGAGACCAGGGAGAGGGAGGGCCCCGCTCGTAACTGTGGATCCGACGTAAGTTGGAGCCGCGTAACTCGGGGACTGCCTGTACATTTGAAATTGACAAGCTGGTGACTTGGATTCGATCATAATTCTGCATTCAGAACATAGAAGCCAGTGGAAAGACTTGTGCAAGAGAACAGCTGCAAAACAATGAGCCCTTCATGTGCTCAGTGTTTCTGAGCTTTTAATTGATTCTTTGAAAACGAGAACGTCATCAGAAATAAGGAAGGCAGAGTAATTCTGTTCTTATTTCCCAGAACCTAAATGAAGTGAAACCACTAAATGGAAGCCCCAACCTTTTCCACATCTGACAAAAATTATATATTTTTGTCAGTCTTCATTGAAAAAAGTAACAGACTTACTATAACCTATTCAAATAATTTAAATAATAAACATATTCAAACAGTACATGTATGCTGTCAACGTTTTAAAGAAAGCCAAAACACTGAACTGGTGGAAGGTTTTGGCTAAGCCCCTGGAACCAGAAGTTTTACTACTAGTACATATTTTGACAGCAATAATTCCTTTAACAGAGGTAGAGAACATTTTCTTTGCTACAGTTTATTCAAGTAGTTCAGTTTATGAGCTGAATTCAAAGTTAAGAAACCAATCAGGAGTTGAAAATTTAGAAGCTTGTTTTCATTTTTCAAATCTATGAATAAAAATTCATTGCAAGAGAGTGAGTTCTGCTACTTCTAATATCTTGAAGAACATAGTGACTAAAAATGGTCTGGTAGCACTTTATAGACTAACAAAACATGTAGCTGGTATTATGAGCTTTCATGGGCACAGTTCCTAAACTCAAAACTCCAGTCATCTGAAGAAGTGGCTACAATCAGCTGCATTCACTAATTATAGATAATACTTCCTTTGTTTAATAAAGGCATTTTAAAATGCAGCACACACTTTAATAAAAAACATGTCTCCCTTTGTGTTCAGCACAAATAAAGGTACATTTAATTTAACTATAAAATCAGTTAAATGCTGTTTGAGAGTTTCTAATTTAATTCCTATTTCCATCCAAATAATTTGACAAAATAAAATATTAAACTCTAGTAAATAAGAAATATAATTTGCCATTTTCTAACATCATTTGTAAAAACTAAAAAGAATAATAAATGTATTTTAAGCTAAATCATTGCTTAGATAAATGTGTGTAAAATATAGTGTATCTTCCCTGTTTAAATCAATTCACTTTGGTCCTGAAAACTCCCACAGCCAAAGAATGTTCTTCTTATAAAGAAAGCACATTTCATATATACAAAAATCTGTGAGGATTTTGAGGTACAACTGAGCAAAAGGCCATCCCTAGGGAGGTGCAGGGTGTGTTGCTACCCCTTGCAGTAACTGAGGCGTGGGGCCACTGGCAAACTCCCTCCCCCCCCACCTCTTCCCCTGCTCCACACCCTTCTCCGAAGCCCCCTCCCTGAGCAATGTGGAGTACAGGCAGTCCCCGGGTTACATGGATCCGACTTACATCGGATCCCTACTTACAAACGGGGTGAAGCAACCCCGCACTAGCTGCTTCCCCCCAGCAGACCAGGGAGATGCGAAGCTAGCGACCCCCGCAGCAGACCAAGGAGACGCAGAGCAGCTTTTCTCAGCAGACACCTCAGCTTGAGAATAAAGGACTGAGGGAAGTGAGGTGTGGGAGAATAAAACTGAGCTCTGGAGAAATGTTTGGCTAGAGTTTCCCCAACAATATGTACCAGTTCCAATTTACATACAAATTCAACTTAAGAACAAACCTACAGTCCCTATCTTGTACGTAACCCGGGGACTGCCTGTACAACAGGCTGGGAGAGAGTTGAGGCACAGTGGAGCTGGCTGACTGGTCACTCTGGCTCCTGCTACCATGGTCAGTAAGTAGGGGGGACAACCCCTACTGCCTCCTTGTTCCAGGCTCCCCCCGGTCCCCCCCAGTAATCTCCCAAGCCACCATGGGCCCCATCCATAGGAAGGTTGAGGCAGCCATTGTTGGGCCCCCTAAAAAGGGGGCCTGGGTCAGCTGCCCTGAACCATCGTATGAATGAGGCATCTGACTGAACATGATAAAGTTATTGCCAAGGTCTAATTTTTTCTCCCCTGTAGAGGTATGAGTATTTGAAGAGAGGTTTGGTATCCAAGAGTCCCCCTTCCTCATCAATTATTATACCATACTTGGGGTTCTTTTCAAAATAATTAAGTAGTTTTCCTTCAGAGGATGATAAAGCTAACCAAATGTGCGATAAAAAAGCAATTGCGCTTCCCAATTTATAATAATTTGTCTGACTGAATTGTCCTTGCATTATAATCTAAGGAAATTCTCCAAGAAAGCTAGAGTTTAGGAAAAGTTTCAAGTCTCCTAGTCCATTTCTGGCTCTTACTCTGGCGCTCACTGTAATAATCATACAGTTTCTTTTTTTTTTTTTAAGGTGGGATGCAGGACTACAACTACATCTGGGGACAATGTTTTGAAATTACATTGGAGCTGTCATGTTGTAAATATCCACCAGCAAGTCAACTTCACGCCTTCTGGAATGACAACAAAGCTGCTTTAATTGAATACATTAAACAAGTTCATCTCGGTGGGTAGAGTTCTGTACTTTGAATTTATTCTGATCAGCTTCCAATAGAGCTAAATTGCTGTAATGACAGAGACATATTACAGGTTGTCCAGCAGCAGGATTGAGGCAAGAGAACTACTTCTGCAAGGGTATGTCTACACTACCCCGCTAGGTTACTCCTCGTGAAATGAGGTGTACCGGTAGTTCGGAATAGGCACCCTAGTCCGAACTACCTAGTTCGAGCCCCGTGTAGCCGCGCTGCACGGGGTTCGAAGCAGCGGGGATTTAAAAATGGCGGCTCCCCGCTTATGCTAATGAAGCCCGGGAAATTCAAATCCCGGGCTTCATTAGCAAGTGCGGTATGCATACATTACCCCGCTAATTCGAACTAGCGGGGTAGTGTAGACATACCCCAAGAGAGTTTGCCTTTCAGTGTGAAATCAGGGTTTTCTTGAGTTTTGTTGATTAAGAGCAGCAGTGAAAGTAACTTAAAATTTCTTACTATTACAACCTGGGTACCTGCCAGCTCTTTAAATAGTTCCCTGCTGGCATTTGCTAAAGCTCAGCTAGCTCTTGCCGGAGCTGCACACTTGGGTACACCCACTTACTTTAAACCTCTGATTAAGAGAGAGAGCTGTGTGTACCCACCTTATTTTAGAAACAATGGCTGCTAAGGGAGGATAGTGAGATAGAGAATGCTGCCAAGAAGCTACTGGGACACCTGGAATTATAGCATCGTGAATTCATTTATTCATAGATGGCTCTGAACTATATAGGTGAACCACATATAACCTGACTTTGGGGTTTGGGAGAAGAGAGGAAATCTTCAGACTAAGTGTATGTGAACAGATTCATTTATCTAGCTATATTCAAGTTGGATAGGTAAGGCCACACTGAAGACACGCAGCAGTCAAAGCACGTACATCCAGCTTTCACTTTTATTAGGGGCAGTGAGCAGCATTGATTAAAAAAAAAAAAAGCTATGGAAAGACAGCCTTGCTAAGAGACATTAATAAAAAAGCATTTTTAAATGAAGACTGACAGAATACTTTTGTGTCAGATGGGGAAAAGATTGGGGCTTACTTTTTTGTGGGTTCACTATCGTTTAAGTTTTGGAACTATTAAGACTAAAATTCATCTGCCTTCCTTATTCCTGATGGCCTTCTAGATTTCAAAGAATCAACTGAAATCTCATAAGCCATTGATGACACAAAAGGGCCCATTTTTGCAGCAGTTCTCTGCACATGGCTTCTTTTTCGAGCGGTGTCCCTGTGGGTGCTCCACTCTTGGTGTTGGGTTGTTCTGGTGCTGCAGCTTGGAGCTTTGCTGAGCAGTTGTCAGCCGGACCGCATATGCGTGGCATGCTCTGCAAGCTGTTGGTGCTCTTTGAAGTCTTGTGCGGTCTGGTTCCTGCCTCAGTTCCTTCTTCACCACCCACGGTTGCAGACGGAGCAAGCTTCTTCTCCTCACAAAACCCTGTCAGGAGTTATATAAAGTTAATAGTTCTTAGTTAGTTTCACTGTTAGTTTTGATAGCCTTATAGTTCTTAGTGTTATTGTTAAAAAAAATTTAAAATTATCGTTGGCTAGTTAGTTATAGGTAGCAAACAGTCATGCCGGACTCCCCCGGTTTTAAAAAATGTGGGTCACTTGCAGAGATGTAATGCTGGCTTCGGACGGCCATTCGGACTGCATTAAGTGCTTGGGAGAGGCGCATGTCCCACAGAAGTGTGTGCACTGTGCAAAACTTACTGTGAGGGCTAGAAGAGACAGAGAAATGAGGCTGAAGATGATACTCTTCAATAAAGCTCTGCAGCTTCCAAAGCTCACAAAGCAAGCGTCAACCCCACGCTTTCCCAGACCTGAAAAACAACGGGCCACCTCGCCTATGCGAGCCCCAGACCGAAAGAGACCATCACCAGCCCGGTCCCTGTCTCCACCCAGAGTGAGCATAAGAGACAAACCCGGCACCTCAGGTACACTTGGGCACAGGCAAAAATCGGCCTCAGAGCCAAAACCGCGGCAAAAACCGTCCTCGGTGCCGCCAACTGTTATAATGGTCCGTCGCTCGGCATCGCCGGCAACCACACCGAGCATCAAACAGGGCTCTATGACACCACCTGAGTCGGCACCGTTAGAATCAGCACCATTGACGTCTGCACTGTCAGACTTCGTGTCGAGCACAGCTGCGAGAGCATGTACGGCACCGACTGTGCCGGCACCGACTATCTCAGGCCCGGAACCAGCACTGTTGGCATGGAGGGGCTCGGTGCCGCAATCATCAACTACATCACCAGCGCAGTCTCCGACTCCATATAGCCCTCGGATCCCACCCACACCAAGCGGAATGGCCAAAAGGCAGAATCATCCTGAACAACTGAGCCTAGAGCCCTTTTCCCCAACACCATCCTCACCATATTCACCCTACTTAACAAGAGAAGATAGGGACAGAGCATATAGACACATGAGGTATTACAGGTCCAGATACTCCATCGCCATACAGGGCATATGACTACTCTCCCCCTCCCTCATCAAGGGCATCTCCATGATCTACATACTCATATGGTCACAGAGTATACTACAGTTATCCTTCCTTACATAGAAGGTATAGCCCGACTTACCATAGACACTACTCTCGCCATGATGATGATCACCAACATCATGTGGACCACAGACACTCCTACTGCACCAACTACTCAAACGCTAAAGCAGCCTCAGCTTCACCACAACAAGCCCAGAAGCAACACCAGGTCCGACACTACCCAGTGTTCCTTCTACATCTCATTACTCAGCACCAGAAGAAGGACAACTCTTGGACGCAGAACAACCTCAGGGTGCTTCCCCAACAGACAAGTCCTCCTCATTGCCTGATGAGGCCGTCCTACTGGGAGATCAGTCACCACCTGATGATCTCAGGCAATTTCAGGACCTTTTTAAGAGAGTAGCCCAATCCCAAAGTATCTAGCTGTCCAAGGTGCCAGAAAAACAGCATAAGCGTCTCAAAAATCTGCCACCCTCCCAGAGAGGTAGAATTGCAATACCAATAGACGAAGTTATTATGGAGTCTGCGGATGATATATGGCAGACTCCAGCCTTGGTGGATAAGAGAGCGGATAAAAGATATTTCTTTCCTCAAAAAGGCGCTGATTTTCTTTTTATGCACCCGCAGCCCAACTCACTAGTTATGGATGCGGTACAACAAAGATCTAAACTCCCACAACACAGACTCAATAATAACAACAACAAGCACATGGATCTATTCAGAAGGAAACTATACTCCTCCGCTACACTCCTCTTGAGAATAGCTAACTATTCGGCATTACTATCCAACAATAACTTCGATAATTACTCAAAATTATTTGCATTAATGGAACACCTTCCAGAGGAGAAACATCTGATACTAAAGTCCATTGTTCAAGAAGGCTATGCATCCTCCAGAACAGCCTTGCAAATAGCTTTAGACGTAGTCGACACAGTGGCCAGAGCAACGGCCACATCCGTAGTCATGCGACGGGCATCTTGGCTAACGTCAGCCGCCGGGCCCCCAGGCT